GCTCTGCCTCCCGAGTGCTGGGATTAAAGGCGTGCGCCACCACCGCCTGGCTTGTTTTTTTTTTTTTTAACAAACAAACAAACTTGGCTAGTCTCCTGGATGCACTCTACTACTTGGGGCTTTGTTTCTATACCTTGGAAATTGGGGTACTATGGCATATGGATCCCATCCTCTGTCCACCTACACCTTCAGCCCTGACCTCCCATACTTAACAATTGTAGAGTAAAAGTGATTGGCTGACGGTTTTTATTCCTCCCTTAGAGAAGAACCTGACTTCATTTTTGTAAAGACTATCAATTCCTTGATGTCCTCAAGGACAAACCTTCTGCAGACATCTACAGATTATGCATTGCAGAGCTTCAAAGGCAGCCATTTCCCCATAGTTATTTGTTTTGTTTGTTTTGTTTGCAACAGAGTTCCTATGTAGCCCCTGGCTGGCCTGGAACTCACTGTGTGGATCAGGCTGGCCTGGAACTCATAAAGATCCACCTGTTCCTGCCTGTTTAGTGCTGGGATTAAAGGCGTGTACTACCCTACCATATCTGTCCCTAGAACTTTAAAAATTCTATTGTTGGGATCAGGAATATCATGGTGTGTGTGGAGTTCATAGGATAACTTGAGTCCGTTCTCCCAGTCTGTGGATCCTGGGGAATCAAATTCAACAAATGCCTCTGTCTGCTGGGCTGGCCCTCCTGTCCTGACCTTTCCAGCCCTGGGGGAGGTGTCAAACCCAGGCCCTCACACTTGCTAGGCACTTGGCTCTACCCTTGAGCTACATGGCCATCACCATGATCATCTCCCTGTAGATGGAAGTCAGAGGTCAGAAGGGTTTTTTCAGCTTTTTCTCCTAGTTCATAGAAAGTCACTGAGTGCTAGCCTTGGAACTGGGTGGAGGGAGGGTGAACGTGGAATACGAAAGTGTAGATTCCACAAATACTTGCCAAGTACAGTACTTTAAGCTAGACGACCTTGGAATACCCGATAAACAAGCCTGGGCTGAAGAGTTGCTTTGTCTAAAGGATGCCAGTATTTAATACTTGTAGTGCTGTGGCAGTGAATCGGGGCCCTACAAGGGGACGTAGGTCACAGTGTCAGGACATCAAGGAAGGTTTTTTGTTTTTAACTTTGTAATGTTTATTGGGCGCATGGGCGCATGGGCACACATGGTGTCAAGTGTAGAGATCAGAGGACAACTTGATTTGGTTCTCCTTCTGCCACATGAGTTTGGGTTGGAAGCAGGTCTGGTGACAAGTGCTTTACATACTGAGCCATCTTCCCAGCCCTGTTTGGTTTTGAGGTCTCATTATGTAGCCCAGGCTGGCCTCCAAATCTCGGAGATCCACCTGCTGCCGCCTCCTGAGTGCTGGGATTAAAGTTGTGCAACACCATGCTGAGCCCCTTTAAAAAAAACAAAAGGAAATAAACTTTGGCCAGGTATACTGGCACACACCTTTAATCTCAGCATGTGGGAGGCAGAGGTAGGCAGATCTCTGAGTTCAAGGCCAACCTAGTCTACATAGCAAGTTCCAGGACAGTCAGGGATACACAGACTCTATCTTAGAATTTTTATTTGTTTTTCGAGACAGGGTTTCTCTGTGTAATAGCTTTGGCTGTCCTAGAACTCACTCTGTAGACAAGGATAGCCTAGAACTCACGGAGATCCGTCTGTCTCTGCTTCTCAAGTGCTCAGATTAAAGGCGTGTGCCACCACTGCCACAGGGCTTCAATTTTTTTTTTAAAAAAAGATTTGCTTTTAGCCTGGCATTAGTGGTACATGCCTTTGGTCCCAGCACTCGAGAGGCAGAGACAGGCAAATCTGTGAATTCAAGGCCAGCCTGGAACTATAGAGTGAGTTCCAGAACAGCCAAGGCTACACAGAGAAACCGTGCCTCAAAAAACAAAAATAAATAAAATTATTTGTTTTTAGCTTTCATGTATGAATGTCTGTGTGCATGCATGTGTTTGTACTGTGTGCATGCCTGGTGCCTCCAGAAGAGGGTCCAAAAGAGGGCATCATATTCTCTGGTACTGGAATTACAGGAAGTTGTGGGTCACCAAGGGGATGCTAAGAGCCAACACAGGTCTTCTGCAATAACACCAAGTGCTCTTAACGGCCAGAGAAGGAGGGTGTTGGATGCCCTGGAGCTGGAGTTACAGTCACTTATGAGCTAGGAGATAACTTGCATCTTCAGTGAAAGCAGGAAGCAGTCTTACATGCTGGACCATCTCTCCAATTACCCGAGTTTAAATTTGTTTTGTTTTGTTTTGTTTTTTGGAGACAGGGTTTCTTTGTGTAGCTTTGTGCCTTTCCTGGAACTCGCTCTGTAGTCCAGGTTGGCCTTGAACTCACAGAGATCTACCTGGCTCTGCCTCCCGAGTGCTGGGATTAAAGGCATGGGCCACCACCGCCTGGCTTGAGTTTAAATTTTTAATTGACTTTAAAATGTTTTATTTAGGTTTTGTTTTGATTTTATGCTTATGAGTGTTTTGCCTGGATGTATGTCTGTGCACCACATGAATTCAGTGCCCGAGGAGGCCAGAAGGTGTTGAATCCCCTGGTATTGGAGATACGGACCACTGATCAGCTGCCAAGTGGGTGTTGGGAGTTAAACCTTGGTCCTTTGGAGAAGCAGGTGACCCATCTCTCCACCTTTAATTGCCTTCCAGAAGCAAACAGAGTTTGTTATTGTCCTGGTTGGTTTTGTCAACTTGAAACAAATCTAGATATACCTGGGAAAAGAATCTCACTTGAGAATCCCCTCCATAAGATTGGCCTGTAGGCAACTCTAGACCATTTTCTTTAACAGTTGATGCAGAAGGGCTCAGCCCACTGGGCAGTGCTAACCCAGGCAGGCAGTCCTGGGTTGCACGAGGAAACAGTAAAACAAGCCTGCACTCCTCCATCGCCTCTGCTTTGGGTCCTTCCTCCAGGTTCCCCCCTTGAGGCTTCTGCTTTGGATTTTTATTGCTTTTATTTTATGTATGTGAGTGTTTTGCCTCTGTATGTGTGTGTGTATGTTTACCGTGCATGTGCCTGGTTCCCCCGGGGAGGTCAGAAGGTGTCAGATCCCCTAAAACGGGGGTTATGGATGGTTGGGAGCTGGGAGCAGAACCTGTGTCCTTTAGGAGAGCAGCCAGTGCTCTTAACTGCTGAGCCGTCTCTCAAGGCCCCTTAAGTTCCTGTCCTGACTTCTCTTCATGATGGACTGGGACTGGGACTTGTAAGCTGAAATCCTTTCCTCCCTAAGTGGGTTCTGGTCCTTGTGTTTATCACTGCAGCAGGAACTCTTAGGACATCGATGTAGCTGAGGATAATGAACCCTGATCCACCTGCATGTGCTACCTCGTGTCCCCCACTACACTGCTCATGGAGGAACTGATTAAATGATAGGAGTTGGTGGTAACTGTCTCTGAGATGAGGCCTGGGAGATAGGAAATAAATTCCTTGGTCCAGAGGGAGGATAGAGAGCATGGAAGGTAAAGAGAACTGGTCCCCACCCTCAGCAGCTTCCCAATGACAAATGACTTATTCAGAATGCATTGTGCAGGATGAAGTACATGCTTGTAATCCCAACACTCAGGATGTCAGGGCCATCTTGGTTGGTTGGTTGGTTGGTTGGTTTTTTGAGACAGGGTTTCTCTGCATAACAGCCCTGGCTGTCCTGGAACCTGCTCTGTAGACCAGGCTGGCCTCAAACTCTGCCTCCAGAGTTAAAGATGTGAGCTAGCACCGCCAGGCCTTGGGCCATCCATCTTAGCACAGCAAATTTGAAGCCGGCTAGGCTACATGTGACTGTCTCAAATGAAAAAGAGAAATATGAGGCCGGGCAGTGGTGGCGCACATCTTTAATCCCAGCACTCGGGAGGCAGAGGCAGGCGGATCTCTGTGAGTTCGAGGCCAGCCTGGGCTACCAAGTGAGTTCCA